GGGGGGGATACTGCAGCAGGTACTTGTACTAAGAGAACAAACTTATTTGATGGTATTTTGATAATTACCCCTTCGATCTGTACACTACCTGTAAATTTAATAAAAGCTTCCAGAAAAGTCTCGGAGAATTTGATACATGTTTAAAATTAATATTATTTACAATATTCATATTACTTTTTAGCATGCACTATTAGTATTATTAATAGTGCATGCTAAAAGGTCTATTAACTACACAACGGGAGACGAATATACAAAAAATACTTGTAATTTATCTCCATATAATAGATGGAAGTTAACAAGTGCTCCGAAACTCACCAGAAGTTTTGCTAGAAATAATATTACTAAGCTGTGAAACAAATTCAGTCAGTTAATTAATTGGGGATTGGATGTTCAGGTTTATTTCTGGTTTTTTTCTCTCTCTCTCTTGCCAGTGACATGCATGTTCAAGCAGGTTGAGGTCAGATGTCAGACTTGCACCTGTCCATGAGTAAAACTGTGCATAAGAGTGATTCGTGAATCTTTTTTGTACTTTCAGAGAAAAAACTGCATGCCCTTTTTGTTCTTTAGAAAAAATACTTGTAGGACATAATGTCCTCCAGGGGTGAAGGAATTAGCATTTAGGTGAGAAAAACCGAACTTTTACCTAACAAAGAACCACACGGTAACCATAGCTTCAAATTGGTTTTCTTATCTCACCTACTATTTCTCTCTGTGATAATAGCCAGGATTCTTCGAGGTGAATTTCCATACAAATTGTCTAAGCATTACCAAGCCATTATTGTGCATTGAGAGACCTCAAATTAAATTAATCCAGCACTATGAAAAAGGAAAACATGGTCCTTTTAAAAAACATGTTTCTAAATGATTCTGGTAAAGACAAACACACACAAAAAATAAAAATTAATAAATAAAATAAAAACTCCCACCTCCCCCACACCTTTCTGTTTGCTTTAACCTGCACTACTCCATCATTCACTTCTGATCTTTTTCATCTATTTTTGCTACTTTCTCCAATTCTGTGCCTGTCCTCAATTCCTTTTCTAAAGGAGAAAAAAAAAGATTGTCCTGCTTTCAGGTCATTCTCAACGGTTTCTATTTCTTTTTCAGCCAGCGGACCCATTTTTGACACATCTCTGTTTTCTGTTCTCTACAATGTTGTCTAGGCAATGGATTTCTTTTTTCAGTAACACCATCTTTTTTTCTTTCTTTTCCCTGTTTTATTCAACTACGTTCTCCTCGAAAAGTTGGTAAGTGCAAAGTTGGAAAAGAAGAGTGGCAGATTGTGGCCTTTCTTCTTTCCTCAACCCTTAGATAATCTTGTCACAGCATCACTCTCCTTGACTCCTTTGCTTGTAGTTAATCAAATCCTAATTTCTCAGGTTACCTCTGTGTCTCGTGCTCGAGCTTGCCTCAGTGTTGACATCCCTGTTCCCTCTTCCAAATTTCCCTCCAGACAGCCCTCTCGCCCCCATCTGTCTCTTGCTAACCTCCTCCGTGCCATCTTTTGCTCACCACGCATCTTGTCCAAGCATCAGACCTTATCCCTTCTCCCCTGCCTACAGTTTTCTGTCCAACTCATCTCCTAACACTAAGTGGCAGGGCCTCAGATGGACTGAGGTTTGAATTGCGCCAGCTAAAAAGGTTCACCAGCAGGGCAGACAAACGCTGCCAAGGACCTCTGGCAAGCTGGGGTCTCGGTGGAAAGGAAGGACGGGCACGAACGAGGAGGAGAGAGGCCGGATGAAAGTGCACGTCTTGTGAGGAGGGCTATCGCACTGTCTCAGGGTCTCCGAGGATGAAAGGAGTGCCGTGACTCCAGTGACTATACAAGCAAAATCACAAGGCAGCCAATGAGGAAGAAATTTTGTCTTCTGAAGGAAAAGGGCACAATCATAAGTTGTATTATAAAGTATTGAATAATGGATGCGTAATCAAATGGAATATAAGAAATGGCATCAGCCAGGGTTACATTTAATAGATAACCTGTAGAGGAAGGAGGTAAAAGATCATGTACAACATCTTTATTAATATGTCGATATGATTAAGTTAATTATTATTATAATTTAAGCGATGATACATCAAAACACTGGGGAAGCTTTGAGAGTAAGAGCTGCCAGATTGATTTATTTTGCTCAGTAGTCAAAAGTAGAAATATTACTTTTGCTGTTAGATAAAACGTAGAAATGCAGCACATTCTCATTTCTTCTAAGTTAAATTTTTATATAACAGCTTCAAGCTAAACTATTTAAAACTGTGGGTAACGCAGCTCAAAATGCAAACCCAGAGAATTCTATTGTAAACTCTTTTCAAATTATCAAAAGACACAAAATATGCTGGAAAAATATTTTATTCCTTGGAATTTCATTGTTTCAGTCTAGAGATGGGCAAACAGGAAACAATTATCTAGAATATTGTCTGTAAGTCAGTGGGAATGGGGAGTGGGCTGACAGAGAATTTTGCTCGTTTGGCTCTGTCCTGGTGTAAAAATACTACTGGCTGAAAAAAGTCAGCCTTTCAGTGTCGTATGAAATAAATGGCAACAGTATAACCATTTCAAAATAAGGAATGTGGATGTTGTGCACACCCATTCCCAGGTGGGTACAGGACAAGGTCACAAAGGGATGTGAGATGCTTTAATATTTTCTCTGGCAGAGAAATGATAGCACCTGGCAGTCACGATTTCTTAAAATATGTGGGAGAACTTGGAAAATACAGGGTTTAAAAAAATATGCGGTGTAATGAGGAGCCCAACTTAGCCAAGTCTAAAAGAATAAAGGCAAAACTTCCAAACTATACGGAGGCTGAGCACAGCTTATATGTGACTCACTGATGCACATTTAGTTCTCTAAATGCTGGCAAGGCTTAACACTGTGCTTGTCACCCAACTTGTTTGACAGGATGTCTTTGAGATCAGAGATTTATTTAGGTTTCTCCTGAATCTGTCAAAGAGCAACAAAGGCTTTTTGTTGCCATCCTTACATGCAGTATGTCAAATCTTTTCATTGCTCAAGAAATTGAGTTCAAACTCTCTTCATTGTCAACAAAGCTTTTGTTGTTCAAACTGGAAGGTTGCAGTTTGGCACTACGTATCCTGAAGAACTTTTACAGTATTCAGGAACAACCACAGATGAGACCCAGACCATATTTTCTTTAAATAGTTTTTATCTCTTCTTGCTTCCTTACATTAATCTCCTTCTTTACTGCTTCCATGATCTACATGGCCTTTCAATCATTGTTCTGGCCACATTGAAAAACATATTGAAAGCTTCTGAACTGAAGGCCCGGGAGCCAAGACGCTGTAGTTTTACAGCGTTGTAAGGGAGGCTCAGAATCAGCATATTTTCATCTATAGCACATGCATCATATCACACCCCACAGACGCAGTGAGAAAGATTTACTGAGTTAAACCAGAGAACAAATTTACTTCACACTATCTTTATGAGATCTGATTTCATGCTTTGCAGGTTTGTGCGCGCCACAGACAATAACAGTGCAGTAATCATGCAAGTCCAATTTCCAAAAGAATACAACCCTGTATTTCACATCATACTGCATGTTTCAATCCGTAAGATATAAAGGAAGCATAAAACGTGTGATTTCTTTAAGCTTCCAGCTTTTATCACTGACCAACTGTTAAGGCAACAAAAATATGAGTCACCTTGTATAATTGTGGCTACAATAACGATCTACTGAGCTTGTGATGAATGGTGTTTGTTCACCGCCGTGGAAATATCTGCGAACAAAAAGAGACCACAAACTGAAAATCGCTCATCAAATGTACATATGCAGTATTTTATAAAAGAACTATGCATGAATGGCATTTCAATCTAAGGCTCCATAGCCCCCAGTGAATGTTTCAGAAGCAATGGTCATTTGGTTTTCCTAGAAGTTAGACATGAAAACACAAACTTCTGTGTTCAGTTAAAATAAGACCAGACACATATTTATATACAGGCAATCGCAAAATAATTTGTCATCTTCTGCTCCCACTGGGATTCAGGAAGAAGGCTTCTTTTCTAATATGGGTCTTCTCAGATCAATAGCATTAAAAGAAACTAAAAATGCTAGCTCTGAAAGGAAAGCAATGTGTGTTTCCACTGGGCTGAAATCAGTCCTGAATGATCTGTCACCTGTAGCTTATTTTTGTAGGTGATTTTAATATTGCCTGTTCAGATATGGTCATTGCAATAAGATGCAATGTTGCTCCAGCTCTAGATGATTAAAGTCGTTCTTTGTAGGCGTTACATTATAGAACAGGCAGTATAGATGACTAGCTCGACAAACATAGAGCATTAAATGTCTAAGAAAGCGGAACAGTTAGCGCATACAATGCTTCTACCACATCCTTGGTTTACTCTTCTCAAGTGAAGCTGGCACATTTCTTTAAGTGAGGGTTTGTGTTTTTAAAGGGTGAACTGTGCCTTACATTTCTGCATTCATGTTTCTGCATGCTTGAGTCCCCTTCCTGGCATTGTCACACAGTTTCAGAAAGTGCAAAGTGGAGTCTCACGAGGCACCCTGTTGAATTTACACCATATGAAAGACAAGGAGGAAACGAGTACTGATACCAGCAATAGCTCTGGTATCAGCCCTCCTTCTTACACTGACTCATTGTGGGAAGGCAAATCCATATCCTACCACAATATGGACAAAGAAATGTCAAGTCTGTATGACTGACAGCTTCACAATACCAAAGTCTGAGGGGGTCTGATCGAGTCTAGCGCTTAAGATGAGAAAGTTAGGAAAGTTGTATAGAGAAGCAGATTAAAAGCCTTTGAATCTTGGCTCAAGGATGTGATATATTTTACCTGAAAATATTTTTTAAAAAGATATCGCTTGCTTTGTATGGATCTCTACTTCTGAGGCACAGACTACTTTTAATTGGCATTTGTCTGGAGTGAAGAAAATGGCCACATTCACATCTAGACTACCCATTAAAGACAACAAAAGAATCCTCTTTTTGACAGCAGGTGTCTTTGAAACCAGATGAAAAGAATCCATCTTGCACATTTGTAATTTTCAGCATCTCCCCCTCTCACTGTGTGTTTGTTTGTGCATACATGCAAGAAGCTGCATGGGATTACAAATAGCGCAATAATCTATGAGCTTCTGTTGTTATACTTCAATAATCAGGAAGCAATTACACTCAAATTAAAAAAAGAAGGTCCACTTCCATGGATCCAAACCAGCACCAGAGTAAATATAAAGCTGAGCTACGTTTGTTGGTTACTAATGTAAGTGTCATTTTATGTAGTAAATGTTATAACATGTTAACTGACAAATGCTGTACCTCTCCTGTAGCTATAGAAAGTGAAATATTCTTCATATGTAAAAAGTGGCTTTGTTGACTGCGGCCCACAGTTCCACACACGGTGTTGGCTCTCTGGAATAGCTTCCTGTCACACCGACATGTTGTCATTATTATAATTAGTTCCACCTGCGTTTTTCCTGATTAAATGAGTCACCAGTCTGCAGGAGTTCACCATATCATGACTCAAACATAAAGAGGGAACAGGCGGCAGTGGTGTTGCTCCTCAGCAGGGCTCCACAGCGTCACCCTCGCTCTCATCAGAGACCTAGGCCCTGCTGGAAGCAGCACAACAGATGCGAACTTACTGTGCACTGCAGAGAAAAAGGAGATCGTAAGAACAGAGAAAAAAAGTGAACAACAGAATATAGCAAATAATGTTTATCGTTTAAGGAAAGACGCACTGGAAACTGAAATAGCTTATTGTAGAATCTGAGGTGTCCTTGTGGGATTTTGAGCACGTCCAAAATGAACTGTGCCTCACCTAAAAAGCAGATGAAAGCAGGTGGCAGCAGCACGAGTCTGAGGCATGCAGTCTAGTGAGACTCGCACGTCATAGCGTCATGTCATCAGAGCCCAGTCTGTACTCTGTGTTCAAAAGTTGCAATTATGACAGACTATCATATAATCACATTACACTTTAGCATCAATCCGACAGTTTTTCTTCTGGTCTCAGAATACTTCTTAAAGAAAAGCGTCTGGACTTCTTTAAATTGCTTGAAGACGTTTCACCTCTCATCTGGGAAGCTTCTTCAGTTCTAAGGTCAAATGGCGGAGAGTCCCAGATTTAAACCCAGTGGGAGTTTCCCCCCCCAAAGAGGGACAAAAGGACCCCCTGATGATCCTCTAATCACCTGAGCCAAGGTGTGAAAATGGGTGTGGGTCCCAATCAGCCAGGGTTTCGGGTGAGCTCATTATGAAACCTGACCCCACCTTATC